CAAGTCACAAGTCTTAGAACATTTTTTCAAGTCAAGTCTAAAGTCATAAAATTAATGACTCGAGTCTGACTCGAGTCCAAGTCATGTGACTCGAGTCTGACTCGAGTCCAAGTCATGTGACTCGAGTCCACACCTCTGGCGACTGATGCGTTAGAAGCGCAAAGTAAAATACCCGTGGCATTTTAGGTAGTGCATTTTGTGCATTCGCGCTTATCGCATCTGCCACTCAAGTTGGAAAAATCTGAACGCCACAACAACCAATCAGGTGACGGGTGTCAGTGATGCTGTGACTAAGTGAATGGAGTCAGAGCATCAGCAGGACATGGATACTGATAAACACCATGGCTAATCACCCCGAGCTACATGACGCCAGCTGTTTTCTATACAGAGACAGGAATAAAAAAATAAAAAAGGTTAAACTATTTAGACAGGAAAGCTCTTAAGAGGTTTGTGGGTGGCTCTTAAAAGAGCTGTTGTGGCTGCAAAGGCCCCGCTCTCTCTGTCGAGAAGTGAGCCATGAACAGCTTCCTCACCCGGACACCCAGGCCTAATGGCTCCACCACAGCACGTCCTGCACCGCTCACATATTATAAACTTTTACTAACCACAGGCAGATGGACAAGCGCTCTGCAGTTGTGATTGAGCGCCTGTAGTTGGTGTCTAGATGGGCGATGCTTGGTGTCTAGGTGGGCGATGCTTGGACCGACGCGGAACAGCAGCTCCTCAAACTGGGCGAGGGACAGACGGTGGTACCGCTGTCCCTCATCCAGACGCAGCTCCTGGAGCAGGTGCTGAAACTCACCAAACTGCTCACGCTTCTGGAGGACCTGATGGACCCAGGTACGGTGAGGATGTCCTTAACACTGCTGCTCTGCTCTTCTCAGTAAATAGAGAAGGCATACTCTCTCTTCAAACGCTAGATTGACGGCTGCCATCTTACAAACATACCATCTGGCACTACTTCCTCCCACATTCCCGGTTACGTGCATGAAAATTGCATATTTTAAAGAACACGCTTCAAGGTGCGAATGTGCAAGCGACCAGCTAGGGGCGTGTGACGCTTTTTGGTCGCTTCTATCGCGATGTGAACGCACCGTTACTCTCAACAAGCAGCGGGTGCTGCTGCTTGTTGACCTCGCCCATGCCATGCCAAGGCGCTCACAGGCGGAGGGTAGTCCTCCCCCCAGCTGCTATAAGGGCAGGAGATGTTCCTATGCGTCCTAACTGCAAATGAATCGCGCATGAGCGAAGCCGCTACTCCCGCTGTGACTGTAACGCAGTCAGTTCTTCTTTTACTGTTAAGTTGTTTTCTGGACCACAAGGTTTAAAGCTACTTATAAACACACACACACAAAGTAACTCCACCAGAGTGCCTATTTCGGGTCACTTTTGCCGGTCCAAGCCCGGATAAAGGAGCAGGGTTGGAATTGTGATATTAAAAATGAATAATTGCTAAAAGAAATTTAACTTGCAGTTCTAAATACATTCTAAATGCATTTAGAACACTATGTCTCTTCCACAATGTTGTTTCTCTCTCCAACAAGGTTACAATTACATTAGCATGACCAATTATGCAAATTAGGCAATGACATCATTTAGCAACTTTTAGGACAGCCAATAGCGATTTTCTTTACTGAGGAGTTGCCAACTCTGGTCACGGGTGTGACCAGTCACGCCCTTCTAAACGAGGCAGCAGCATGGGGTAATTACAGAAGCAGAAAGATGTAGAACCCAGTTAAATTATACAAAAAATATATATACACTTTTTTTTGTCCCGTTTGGATCTTTAGCCATCAGAATTGTTGTCTTAAGGCCAAGAAAGATGCCAAGCAGATTTACTTTACCAAGTGGATCATCATGGCTTTGCCATATTGGTCCATTTGTTTGACCTTTATTATAATTATGTATTTCTTTGATTTTATTTTCGGTTGCTACAGACCGGACAGACATGACTGAGGGATAGGACAGGGAGAAAGAATGAAAGAAAGAGAGGGAGAGAAAGAAAGAAAAACAAACAAAACACCTGGATCACCTGTATGGAGAAAAAAAAAGAAGAGAAAGCAAACAAAAAAGAGCAACATAATAAATACAGCACCATCACAATAAACTAGCTAGCGGTAGATAACAGTAGATACTAAATATTGCAGCACAGAGTCCGGGGCAGCCCACCCGACTCCACCGCAGAGAAAACTGCACCCACCCCATCATCCAATCATCTCCCAAACTACACAAGACAATAGACACCCAGGTTGAGTTCATTCTCTCCCTCTCCTATATCTCTCCCCCACCTGCAGAGTGAGCTCCTGTAGAGAGGAGACCACCTGCAAAGATATAACAGCCTCCCCACCAGTTAGAGAGCCCCCTAGTTGGGCTAACATACAGTTGATAACTATCCCGTGGAAGTCGTCCGCCATCAGCCTTGCTCAGCAGACAGCTGAACTTTGTGCCGCTTTCCAACGATGCAGTGTCGCGGTGAATAAGATCCATAGCAGATGATGTTAAAAACACACTGAGCGCATTAAAGTTAGTCGCTATTGTTCTATTCAGTTTGGTGAGACTACATATGTTGCAGATACGGCCAATTTGCTTGTTTACATTAGATATGAACACGAAAGTGCAGCTCAAGAAGACTTTCTGTTCTGTAAGTCACTTCAGACCAGAACTACAGCTGAACACATTTTCCAGTTATTGAATAAATTTTTTCAAGGAAATGGGCTGGATTGGAAAAGGTGCGTTGGAGTCTGCACGGATGGTGCTAAAGGTCCATGACAGGTCGCCATAGCGGAGTAGCAGCCCAAACTGCAGTATCCATCGCGAGGCCTTCGCAGTGCAAAAAAATGCCTGAAGAAGCTGTACTAGACTCAGCTGTGAAAACTGTCAACTTCATAAAGAGCAGGCCGGCGCACTCTCGCCTATTTCATGTGCTCTGTGATGAGATGGGCAGTGAACACCTCCAACTTCTGCTCTGTACAGAAGTAAGATGGCTTTCAAGAGAGAAGGTCCTTTCTAGGCTTTTCAAATTGCACAGAGAGATCCAGATGTTTTTACAGGACAAAAACTTCCCCTCATCAGATGTTTCTGAAGACACTGTGTGGCTCAGTCAGCTGGCATACTTGTCGGACATTTTCTCTCGTTTAAATGAGCACAATTTGGGCCTACATGGACTCTCCATCAGTGTTTTTGATGTGCAGGACAAAATCAATGCAATGTTGAAAAAACTGGAGTTATTTGTAATCAAAGTCAAGACAGGGGATGTTTCAGCTTTCCCCACTTTGGAGTGTTTCCTGTCTGACAACAATCTGACCTTCACCGATGGAGTCAGAGACAACATTGTTGCCACCTTGTATCTCTCAGACAGCAGTTCAGTGAATATTTCCCAGCAACAGTAGATTTTCTCCTCCCATTTGCGACCAAGTATCTATGTGAGAATTGCTTCTCTTCACTCGCCTTCATAAAGACAAAATATAGAAACAGATTAGATGCTGAATCCAACTTTAGGCTGAAGCTGACCTCAATCAACCCAGACATCACAGAACGCCATGCACATCCCTCTCAATAGACCAAGTTGCAAATAACAACAACATTTAAATGTTTTGATTGTTTTCATGGAGCCGTTATTATTAATATCGCTTTTGCTGTGAATGTTTTCATGCAGTACTTGATCAGTACAGTACAGTACAGATCTTACTAAATGTTTCAGTGCAGTACAGTTGTTATTTTCCCTTGTCACATCCTGAATGTTTAAATGCAGTGCACTTCATATTGTCGCTTGATGGGTGATTTAGTCAAGTACAGTTGTGGTGTTTTATGACAGTTAAAATAAATAACATTCCTATAAGAAATAAAATTATCTTGTGTAAACTGTATATGTTGTTAAAATAGGCCTATACTACTGTATTTTAATGTCGGTCATAAGAGTGAATAATAATAATAATGGATTGGATTGATATAGCGCTTTTCAAGGCACCCAAAGCGCTTTACAATGCCACTATTCATTCACTCTCACATTCATACACTGGGGGAGGCAGCTACAGTTGTAGCCACAGCTGCCCTGGGGCAGACTGACAGAAGCCAGGTATTTCAAGAGCTACATATTTTATGAGGTGGTAGTCATTGTGAAAAGTTTGAGAACCGCTGGTCTAGTATAAAGAGTGTAGTGTGATTGTAGGGGATGGAAATCATGGTAAATGGACTGATTCTTGTATAGAACGTTTCTACTCCCAGTGTACTCAAAGCACTCTATACAACATGCCACATTCACAGCTTCTAAGCTTTCAGTCAAAGCTAACATTCATACTCTGATGGATGCATCAGAGAGAAACTTGGAGTTGGTGTCTTGCCCAAATATATTTGGCATGCAGACTGGAGGAGCCAGGGTTCGACCCACCAACCTTCTGATGTAGATGACCTGCTCTACCTCCCGAGCTACAGCCAATCACATCATCCAAGATGGCTTGTGAAGGTGTGAACATCTTGTGAAACATCAGTTGTATAAATCCACACAGAGCAGCAGGTTTGCTGATCACATCATGTACACTCTGCCTGTGCTGAGCCACGACACAGATTTTAGTGTTCCCCCATGAAGGTGAAGAGGACTGGGCGAAATGGGCACAGCTTCATTCCTGACAGTCAGCAGACCTCAGTCTCATGAGGTTGTTGAAAAGCAAATAAAAGTCACAAACTCCCAGTTAGAGAACTGGTCACAGTAACAAGATTAAACATTAAAAACAGCTTAAATGTGTTTATGTTACTTGTAGGGGTGCAACGATACAGAAAATTCACGGTTCGGTTCGATACTTTGTTGTCACGGTTCGATATTTTTTTGATACAAAAAACATGTTCATGCCTTTTTAATTTGTCATTTATTAAATTTCCACGGCACATTCTGCACCACATCTCTGTGCGTTCATCATTTGTTTGAAGCCAGCTCACCTCCTGCAACCACTTTTCCGAGAATACGCGCTTCTTTTGTGGTTCGGACTCCTGACATTTCTTTGGAGGTGGAGGAACATCACAGTAATTGCTTAAAGGAGCTTCTGTTCATATTAGTGAATATTCACACACATAGTCAGACTTATGGAGCCTCTCACCACACTTTTTTTCTCTGTCTATTCACAAACAAGGGATGTTTCCACATTCTCTCCACCTGTCTAAACAAAACACCCAGAGTACATCATTAGACATACACACACAATTATGGGCATGCTGAGGTTTGTCACATGGAATGTAAATGGAGCTGGCACCAGAGGAAAGAGGTTAAAGATATTTAACCAGCTTAAAAAACTACAGGCAGAAAGTCACAGACCTGTCACAGGTTTAAACGAACTTAAAACACCTGAGTTTCCTAACGTGTTTGCAGCCTGTTATAATTCTAGACAACGGGGAGTAGCGATTTTAATACATAAAAATGTTAATTTTACAGTACTCGATACAGTTATAGATCCAGAGGGTAGATTTCTATTTATTAAACTATCAATATTGAACAAAAAACTATGTATTGTTAGTATATATGGTCCAAATGTTGATGAACCCTCATTCTTCCACGGTTTTTTTAGTGCACTCTCTGAACACCTCGATTGCGCACTCATTCTTGGCGGTGACCTCAACCTTGGACTAAATGAAGACATGGATAGGCTCAATACAGCGGGAACTCAGCGTAATTGGCAATCCACAAATATGATCAAACAGCATATGAGCGACTTTGG